GTATGTAGCGAGAAATAGTCATTTCATAAGATCGTATGTTTTATTTTGTAGTATATTGTGTTGTAAAGTGGGGAGAAAGCGATTATTTTGTTGATTTTACACAATGTTATCGTTCGTTCCCTACGTGTGAATGTGTTGCGTGCGTGTAGCGTAAACGGGACATGTATCCACGGAGCTGGGCTAGGGCCGTGGGCCGTGCAGTAGCTGTGCTTGTGTAGGCAAGGGCAGGCTCGGTGGAAATGCCCGCTGACGCGTTGATGGTGAAGAAGTTGAATTGACACCAGCAGAATGGTATTTTATAAATGTTAGATCTGGAAATGAAAGGCGTTAAGAGAAAGGGAAGAAAATTATTAGCATTACTCTCCACAGGAAGATGTAATTCAGTGTCTCAGGACTGCAACTTTGTCTTTGATCAGTTGAAGTCTGAAGAGTTGCTCTTTCATAAAGTTGCAGTCGGAATCAGAACATCACAAACTGACAAAGACACATGAATAAATTCATTCACATTATTGTCATTGCAGTCATGAATAATTGACATCATTTTGTTATGTATTTTCAGTTTTGTCATTTGGTAAATTGGATGATGATTGATATGAATGCAATAATACAATGTAGCTAAGTCTTAATTATTAAGTGAAAAGAAAGGAAAAAATACCCCCGCCCACCCTTTTAAAGAAATAGCAGTGTTTCAAGGACCAGGTTCCGATCAAATTTTATTTTGACATGAGATGATCTTCTTTTTGAGAAGCACAGCAAGCAGTAGTCTATGGCTATATAATGTTAATTAGAAAGAGTATTAGGAAAAACAACATATATTTTGCAAACAAAATGTTTATTGTCATATTTATTGGTCAGAAATAAGACTAAATTCATTGGCTAATCAGATGTAAAATGCAAAATTGAAATTGCATTTATTCAATGTAACTACACACTTGATATTCAAAGGCGAAACGTCCTCTAATTCAGTCTTTTACGAAAATTGCTGAAATTATTTATCGTGGGTCTACATTCTGTATTCTAATGTTGACTTATGGTCTGTGTAAAAAGTTACAAACAACAAATGTCAATAAAGCTAAACTGCAAGTCGTTTTTATAGGCAGTGTAAAATTTGTTTGCCCATGAAGTGTCCATTACTTTTTACACTACGCCCATTTAACATGTGCATGCCAATCTTGATTTTGCGGCTGATTAATGTGAATTTCAACTTTGTTTATAAACTATGATAATTTTAAAAGAAATATATAAAAATTATAGAATGTGAGGGCAAACCTCAATGTTACTATTATACAAATATTGCACGTCCCAGAGTGCAATAGCGGTGAATGCAGTACGCGCGAGGTTTCTTTAGATTGGTGCCGCTCTGTGCAACGAGCCGCTTGCGGCGAGTTGACAGTGCGAACCATCTGAAGAAACCGAGCGTTTACTGCATTTACGTTTTGCACAACAGGGTCAAGTGCGTTATTTGTTTTATAAAATAGCGACACAAATAGCAAAAACGAAACTTTAGATCTAATAAGTTAGAGTCTACGAGAGTTCGATCTAGATCTAGATCTAGAGTTATGTTGGTTCTAGGCCTACTTCTAATTAGACTAAGATTTTAGTAAGAAGACCTTGCAGGCTTACCAAAAAGTCAATGGGATTCATTGCCTTGATTAAAAATAAAATCCGTACAGTGGGTCTAGAGACGAGTCTACATCAGACAGCTGAAATTCCTGGCTTCATTATAAAATCCAAAAGTCAAAACAGGCCTAAATCCAAGGCAAAAGTAAAATGAAAAATTTGCTTTTTAATAATACCCCGCTGGCCGCTCTAGCTAGCTAGCTAGAGCTAGCTACGCGTACGTTGCGCTGGGGATCATGGTGGAGCGTACAATATTAGCTACGCGTAGCCTACAATAATTGCAATGCAACTCGAGGGAGCGCGTACTACATGTACGCGCGCGCACTGGATCTCCATGGTCACGCGTACGCACCGTGCAATATAACTTTTTACTGCGCTTTTTCTGCACTCATTTCTGCAAAATCGTGCTTGCATCAAAATTTTTTCAATGTCATGTGACGCGTATTGACCAATCACGATGCTTAAAATACTAGAGCCATTTTATAAAATACTATCGTTACTCATTCACCTCAGAAGTTTGGTGCTTTTTATGCATCACATGGGGTGCATAGCTTTTGGATCTACATGTACAGGTAGATGTATGACCATGTATACCCAGGTGTTGTGTGTCTGGACAGTTGATTTAAAACTAACAGTGATTTGAAGAAGTTCACAAGCAATATTTCATCATTCTAGTTTAAAGACTTATTCAGGAAAATATTATAAAAGACAAATATTCATGATGTTTAGTGCTAGTATTTGATTAATATTTTCTGTGAAATCTGAATGCCAAAGAGAAGTCCTTTGTTTGTTAAGTTTCCAGTCACGCAACCCCCGCCCCCCCCCCCCCCCCCCCCATCAACTTGTACATGTACATGTACATGTACATGTACTTGAAGCAGATTTTGCATTATGTAAAATATGCATTACAAATGTTTTGTCCATTTTAGTTTTAAAAAGAAAACAGCCACTCCTGTTCAGAATATCGGAGGTATAGGGTACAATGCTTTATAAAATATATTGATGATAGTTTGAAAGCACTGAGACCCTTCGTAAATCAACATTTTAAAGCTTTACTTGAAAAGCCCCTCTGAGTAGCCCATCTGAGTAGCCCCTCTGAGTAGCCCCTACTTTATTTGTACATGGAAGATAAATTCTTCCTTTGAAAAGAGCCAATTTGAAGCCAATTTTTATGGAAGAATATTACGAACACCTTAAATTTAGCATCACTATCTTATTTTTAAGATAATTCAATGTGAGAATGGTCTGGAATTGGATCTGTTGTCCTTCCAAGCATGCTACATGTATTAGCACTAAACTCAAATATTTATAACAATTGAGAATGCATTGGCTAGACAGTCGATACTGTGCATGCTGATGTCATAAGTAAATGATGTCAGCCACATAAACTTGGTAGGAGCTGTGAAGCTGGGTAAGGAGCAAAGAAAGAGATAAGAAAATCAATCTGCATTTCCGTTTAGTCTTCCGGAAAAAGTGTCAGACACGTTATTTAGAAACATTTGTTACACCTTGATAACCAAGACCACCAATATCCTGCATGACAATTATTACAGATTTTTGTTGAGCCAGCTTCTTTTGAAATGCAGTTTTATCGTAACAGTATTTATGGTTAGATACATGTATGTCTACATCTACATGTATTTAAACTATGGAACTATTCCAAGAATTTACATCTGGTTCACACAAAAAGAGAAAAAGAAAAATACATGTACATGTAGGTGATGAATATGCAATTTGAAAGTAACTTCATTTGAGCCATGAATAGTACATGTACACCTGTATACATTACATGTATATCTAAAGTCTGATAACAAAAAAAAAAAAAAATCAATTAAGCTTTCAAACACATAATTCAGGTTTTTATGTACATGTACTTGATGCATTCAATCAGTAAAAAGAAATTCAAAGTGCTTGCCAATAGCAAACCTATCAAGACTGTTTTTCTCAGAGGTAACCAAACGCGGCTCAATTGCCTGGTGTGTAACAGGTTCTGGTATTGGGTTACCAAGTAATGTTTATGTTTGAGATGAGGAATTATGCACATCTTTCGCAGAGAGAAATTATTAAACCATGTGCGCTCGGCCTAGCACATCTCCTTTCCAAAGACTGTTGGACGTTTCTACCATTTATTTTAGACTTTTTCAGTTATTAATTGATCCTAGATAAAGTATTGATTTACCCTACAGGTGTAGTCTGTTGTTCGATTTTGCAGTACAAAGAAATAGGGAAAATAGATAAAACCAGGTAAACAAGTCATTTACACTGAATTCTTTTAAGGAAAAAACAAAAAACAAAACAGTAAGTAACTAGTAAACATATTTTGCTTCATGTATAATAATAATATTGAATAATCAATATAGAAAGAAAATCATGATAATTGTTTAGGGCTAGGCCCTACATGTACATCAGAGAAAGGAATCAAGCAGGAGACAAAACAATTTGAGAAAGTTGATGCAGACCGGAAAGCTTTTTGTTTATAGAGACTTCCGCAATAGGACTATTCTCAGTAGCAAAACGTGACTGCTAATGTTATCAAACATGATAACGGTTGAGGAGCAGAATCTACCCCCGAAAATGAGAACTATCAAGAAATATTTAGAGAGACGGCGTCTATTGATGAATTCTAGAGATGAAGTGCACATTAGGGCACTGATGGCGGTGCTCTTTTACCAATCGTTGCCTGATCAATGTGGCCCAATTCATAACAGCCTTGACTCCCGACTCAACTGCAATATATATCATGACCTTTCTGTGGCGGAAATCGGGATAGCTTGATGGTTGGAAATAAGAGGGGATCCTACCATCGAAGAAAACGATACTAAAAAAAAGGGAGGATAGAATCCTCTCTCAAGCTGCAATTGTCATCTATAATGAGGGCAGTGAATGGGGCCAAATTGGCCAAATTGTGCTAAGCGATCCGCCAAATTGTGTGTTCGCATTTTGAAGGATACATTATGGATCCATGCTAACATTTTAATATCAAACGAAGTAACCACATGTATGTAGACTTGCATGATATATATATGCGCAAGTACGTGTATGCAAATGTGTGCATTTTTCAGCCTAATAAAATTGACATTTTGAGAATGATTGATCGAGTCCGTAGAGAATGGTTTGCAAGATTTATGTCCAGTGTTCATTCATAACTAACTTTTCTCTAAAATTGGAATTGATGTGAATAAAACTCTCTCTGAGAATGATTTAATTTGACTTATACTCTTCCTGGCGCTAGTATTGCCCTCATCATATTGCTTTACAATGAAGATAAATGTACTGTATATAACAGGGTTCGACACAGCTGCCTAGGACAATCGGGCACCTAAAATCCAAGTCCTGACCCCCAAAATGTCATCATTTTTATATAGGGCTTACATGTACAT